TTTTTTGCCCAAAAATTCTATTAAATAAAAACCTCTTACCAAAAATAAAATAAAATAAAATTCATTGTCTCAGAAATTCTAATATTACAGACATACCTTGGATACATTTAGCTGTGTTCTGCTTTGTTTGTGTTTTATTTTATTTGTTTCATATTTCTTATTTCATCCARGTTTTCAACTATTAGACATGCGCTATATGCATGCCTGCCTGCCTGCCTTCCATAACGTTGGAAAAAAGGGCGCACAAGACACTTAATTTGGCTTAAAATACAAACATTCTGACAAATAAGTATCTGTTTGTAACCATACCTCAGCTTAGAAGGCAGAGGGTGTCGGTCTTTTCTGCTCAGATTCAGCTATCCGAGCATGAAGCTAATGTTTACTTACAATGCTAATGCTACCCTTACTCTCTGGCGCTCAAGAGGTAGAGGAGCCAAATGGCTGGCTCACTGTTGCCAACTAGTGGTCAGAGGCTGAACTACAACATAAAAATGAACGGCTGGCAGGAAAGTTGACATTTTAAACCTTAATTTAAAAATCGATACAGGGCTTTAGAATATCGATACAGTATCGGGAAATGAAATATRGCGATATTTCAGTGTATCGATATTTTCTTACACCCCTACTGGCAAAAAAAAAAAACAGGAAGTACATCAATTTTTACATGGTTCTTCAATGCCTGCGTTCYCCCCCTACTGACCTACGGCTGAATCACAGGCATTCAGACAAAAACCTCATCTACTGTTATCATAACGTTTTAATTATGTGTTGTTTTAATTCGGACATGTAACTAATCTATATCAATCAAAATATAATAGATTAAAAATTGTCAACATTATAAAATGGAAAACCTAAAAATATAGTGTTGTGCTTTTAACATCAGTACTAACCTCTAATAACTATAAATTTCTTCAAAGTGATGGATCCATCCATCCACATGATTTGTATGTGCTTTTGTCAAACACAAAACAGAACAAATCAAATATTCCCATGTTGTCTTGACTTTTGAAGATCATCATAAATAAATAAATCTTAGGTACTGCACAAATGAATGATCTAAACACTAATTGATGAACAAAAAGCACAATAAATTCATTTTAAACTCATAAGGTCAGAACTCTGTCACAAAACCCTCAATCAAAAGGCTTTTTTTTATTAGCGCAAAATAATCCTGCCCAGATTTAACCATCAGTGACATCTGACATTTGATGTTATGACAGCACACAGCTGAAACCACGGATAGAAATCGTGATCTATAATGCAAAAGCAGCAGGCTATATAATTCTAAAAGGGGACCCCTTCTTTGACTGAAAACCAAAGTCACTGCTGTGGCGGTCCAAACCAACTTCTCTTCACTAAAAATACATATCTCACGATTCAATTGAAATGTCAATCAATGTTAGTTCAGTAACCACAAGGGAATTATGCACAATTTCTTCTCCTGTGAGACAGTTACTGGCAGCTGCAGTGATCACATGCTGTAACTCCTGCCAGATGATGGAATGACTTTGTGGGCTCACGCCTTGGGTATCCCACTCTGTCAAAGAGAAGCCTCCAGTCACTGCTTAGCGGCACAAGATGCATTACATTGCATTGACATTCCAAATGGTCCCCAAGGTGCGCCACCATGACTTTGACTGACAGAGCAGCATGGGAAACTGTGTTGTCCCATAATTCACCAAATGCTRTGTTCTCTTTGTGGGTCTCATGTGTTCATGTTGTGACCCAAGATGCACAGAGTTGTGTCACTCTCTCTGTTTTTCCTGTGTTTCCTGTTAGTCACCATGACAAGTTCGGGAAAATGAAAATAAACAACTGGCAGACAATGCATTCATACAAATGTTCTTTTTTGCCATTTGTTATTCGCGTAGTAGTACATTTTGAAAGCACAAACAAAGTAAATTGGAAATAACACTTTATACTTGAAAATGATAGTCACTGGTGCTGTTCTGTGATGTGCAGCATTACTTTATAATGCAATGCTGTCAAACAGAAAACATTTGCAAGGTTGTTGTGAGTATAAGAAATACTGTGTGAAAAATTACAAATTCAAAAATTAAAAAACTGTTTTTAGCTAAACATAAGTTTCACCAAATTGTACATCTCTATCTAATCCATAAGTATCTTATTTTCAAAAACAACACTGATGAGGATTTGTTTAATGATTCAATTACAGTTAAATCATAGGAGAAATAATTTCTGCTTTATAAAAACTTGAAGACATCTAATGCTATGTTAAATTTCCTCAATAAAAATTCCTAATTATCTGGGTTGAATGCATCCTGTTGCAAAACTTAGCAATGTTTGAAATTATCTAAATAAGAAAAAAATGTTGGTGTTAAATATGTTTGATTCAACTTTAGCTGTTTCTTGCTTTCAACTGGTTCTTAGGTTAAATTTGCATTAAAAAATAATAATTGGAGCTAACAATTTTGATGACATAATTAATCCTTCTGAAGAAAGTAAAACAATACCTCTTGTCTATTACTTTTTGCATTGTAAATGCAAAATAAAAAGTGTGATAAAAATATATTTTAAAGAATATTCCCTGCCAGTCACTTACACTGCTGTTGAATTAGAAAAACCTACTAGGACTTTTAAATTAGCATTACAGATTAGTTATTTTTGCAGCTTTATACAACTCCTGATCAAAATCTTAAGACCAGTCAAAAAAGTGCAAGAATTTCCATTTTGCACTATTGGATCTTAAGAAGGTTCTAAGTAGAGATTCACAATGTTAAAAGAAGAAATCAGTGCAAGAGACAAGAACTTTTGAGCAGGGAATTGTCTGAAAACTGCATTTACACTCAAACATGATTTTTTCA